TCTTTTTATAGCATCCACTATCAATTGTAACAATTCATCGGAATCCTCCTTGGTCTAAGCTTCATAGTTTTCTTTCTCTTTTCCTTTTTCTTTATTATTTCCTTGTGAATTTCTCATTTGAATTACTAAAACAATATATGTTAAAAACTAGTTATATAAATAATTATGGATAAGAGACAAAATCAATATAATTATATTATTATTTTTAGAAGCACACCAATCATACAAGATCGAATATATCTTGACTATCCAAATGGATCAAATACCTCAGTCATTATAAAAAAAACATATAAAAATGAAAATATAGAAACATAAGGTAATTTTATATATATAAAAAATCAGTATATTCGATACTGATAAAATATTTAGATATGTAATTTTTTTTATATAAACGGAAGTATTTAAATATATATATATATATATATATATATATTATTTTAGTTATATATTATATTATAATTTTTAACAATATTTATAAATGTAAATTATTCTAACAAATATTATAATAATATTTCCTTTTTTAAAAAATAAGCTAATGAAGGCATAAATCCTAAACCTTAAAAAGTTAGATACTACAATGTCTTATGTTAATTTTTCTTTAAATATAAAAAAATATTAATTTCACAATATAAAAATAAAAAGAAAAATTCATAGTAAATAAAATAAAATAATTGTTGAGTCATAAAAGGAGGAGGGATAAGAGTAACAAATTCAAGGGAAGGAGAGAGTGTGCAGTTTTTATGCTGAGAGAGTTCTTCCCCCAACTAAGATCCATTTTTATCTCATTCTACTCACAAAAATCCTAACAAATTCATCTTATATATATATATATTGTAGAGAATATGATATCAATTTTATCTTTCACCTTTTTCTTTTATTGACGTGTGTTATAAAAAAATTTACCACTTAAAAGTTGAAATTTCAAGCATTTTTTTGTGTTATATAAAGGAACAAATTCAACTACATAGAATAAAATAAAGCAAGTCAATTAAAGAGAACGAACAGAAAAATAGAGTAAGTCAATGACACTATCATTTACATATCAGAGTTTCACAAATATAGGGGAATAGGATGAGAACAGTACTACAATATTATATATGAGCAATGAATAATAGTGTAGTATTATTAGTAGAGAAAAATTTGAGAAGATAGGAGCATAGAAAAAAAAGATGAAAAACTCACTTGAAAATTCTTGAAACACTTGAAAAATCACTTCAAACAATCCTTTAAAATCCGATGAGTTTGGATAAGATTGTTTTATGAATCTGGTATTTATAGATAACACTAGAAAGTCCTTCAAAATCTCTCTCACACAACAATCCTTTGAAATCCTTATATTTTTGAATACCAATAGATTATTTTTAAGTTGTAAAAAAACTCAAATGAATACCTGTGGATTTTAATGGACTCTTTAAAAAATCTTGAAAATCCAGATTGAATACCACTGGATTGTTTTTAAGTGACATAAAATCCTGATTGAATACCAATAGACTTTTTTACTTAAAAAAAATCTTTTAAAATCCTACGAAATCCTAAACCAATACACCCCCCTTAATATTTTGTTTGGATATTTTACACACTTTAATGAGGTGAAATTTGTAATTACATTAAAGTATATTGCCGGTAAATTTCAAACGTTCATACAATAAAATGATAATTAAGAGTTATTTCACAACTTTTTAATAAGAACTTTGTTATTTTAATAAACAATTTTTTTTTCCCACTTTTTTCCTCTCAATATTATCTATAAATTTTGTTATTAATATATTGTAATTTTAATAAAAGAAATCATGGCTTTATAATAATTAAAGATAACATGATTTAGTTTATTAAAAAAATTACTTTGAGTTTTTTTATTTTGTTTTTATTTTAATTTTTAAATCTTTTTAATTTTATATGTTTGTGTATTTATTTAATTTTTAGTTTTTTTAATTTTTAATTTTTTTTAATTTTTAATTTTAGTTAGAAAAAATTATCGGATTAATCATTGAAAATAAATAATAAATAAAATAATTATCACATAACATATAATTAAAAATTGAGAAAAGATAATTTTTCACCGTAATGTCTATACTTGACTTTTGTTATTGAATATATATATATATATTTATTTATTTATTTTTGAGTACACAAATTTCAAATAAATTTACCATTATAACTACTTTTAAATTAATTTATCTATTATTTATTTATTTTCTCTCTTATTTTTTACTTAATCGTAATATTTAGTAGTATCTAAACTTTTCACACTTTAAATAATAACTTATCATTTTTTTTTTCTTCTTTTAAAGAGAGATAGCATGTGTCTCTTTCCTCTAGTTTTCATAAAAATAAATATTTTTTTTTATAAATATCATAAAAAAATAATAAAAAAATAATGAAAAATAAATAATTAAATAATTATTTGATTATATATTATAATGATAATAAGATAACTTCACTTTTTAATTTCTATTTTATATTAGATTATTGATATTATAAATTTATATATTTAATAAAATTTTCCCTATTATTTAAAATTTATAGATGTAGTAGCCAATAATATCTTTTTCAAGAACGAAAATGGGCAACACTTATCGATGGACCATTTTTCTTTCATTTCTGCAGGGTCTTTTTATAAAGAATTAATATTTTTATTAGAATTATAGTGAAACACATTAGTAATATTAAAATTCTTTATTAGAATTATAGTGAAACATATTAGTAATATTAAAACTTTTATTTCAAATTCTTGAATAATTAATACTTTTATATATATACATATATATATTTTTTGGTTTTTAAATTTTAGGATGGGCACAAAAGTGAAGCCCCTGGGCGAAGAACGGCTAGTGCTCTAAAAGAAACCAAAATCAAAACGTCCGCATTTCCTTTCCTTTTCTCAAAGTCAGAAGTGAGTCACGCAGCTCTCTCCAATCAGGTAATTTCACTCACTCTTCCTCACTCACTATATTTCCCTTTCCTTTCTTAGATTCGCAATGCGCAAGCTTTTAGCTAGGGTTTCAGCCGCTCAATTTGTAGATTTTCAGCTGCTCTTGTAGATCTGTGGCGGGATTCGCTGCTTCAAAAAGAAAAAGAGGTTTGTCCCTTTCAATTTCTGCCAACATTTCTATAGGTACTAAGGTGATGCAATAAATCACTTTGACTAAAAACTTGCATTGGGTCTCTTAAACTACATACTACGTGCTCAATAAATCACCAAAACTAAGTGCTTCTTTTGTTCTAACTTGCAATGGGCGAATCTAGAAATATAAACACTTGGAGGCTTTCTGTCCTCTTACAGTACCCTCACTTATTATTATTATTATCATTTATTATTATTATTATTATTGTTGTCACAATATCATTACTAGGAATTTTATAAATTTCACAATATTTTGCTAGTCACGATAATCACTCTCATCATGAAAATGAAATGTTATTATTAATAATATTTTTTCCGTTTTTATTTCATAGTCGTTTAAGATTTTGTACCGAACTTAAGAAAATGATTGATATTTTAGTTTTTTAAAGTATTTATTATCTATTTTCTTATTATACTCTTTAGGTGGTTGGAGAAGAAATATGTACATTAAAAAATAAATAGACACATTGTTCAATAAACATACATTAATTATCAAAGATAAAAATGAAAAAAAAAATTATTAATTTTAGAAAAGTGATAAAAAAAATAAAATATTGACAAAATGATTATGGAAAAAAATACGAAGGGAGTAGATATATCGAATATGGTGTCTGCATAGGTTTTTCTGTACGCGTGAATCACATGCACGAGGGGAATTTATTTATTAAATTATATTGTAATTAATAGTAAAAAGAAATTTGTAAGGCATAAAGTAAAGGAAGTTGCATTATTTAAGGGCCTCATCTATGCGTAGCAATAATTGAAGTATAAGAAACTAAACTTGTAGTAATGAAATTGAATTTGAATGTCATTCTTCTTCATTATTTTTAGGATAACATCATCGACTTACCAGGTTCTTTTAATATTTCAATAATCTTAATTAAACTATGCTCGTAAGATGCTATATATGCCTTAAAATGTGATGCTTCATATATATTGCCTGTTAATTACACGCCCTACAACCAGAGGGTCCCTACTTCCTCTAGGCATGATCGATCAAGATACAATGGAAATAAATTACTTTTACACAACTTAGCATGGAGAAGAGCGAAGTTTTGAAAATTTATTTTGATTACACAGATGGATTCTGTATAAGTGTTTGACTAGGATATTCTATATGTGGATTGTCTTAGTGTTATATAACAACAAAATTCTTATCCCACTAGGTAAAGTTGGGTACATGAATCACATGATGTCATTGGGCTTGGTTTAAGACAAAATTATTAATATATTATTATCTTTGGTTCATGATATATACACCTCATTTTTTCTATAAGTACACCTCCTTTTTTAAAAAGTAATTAAAATTTTAAAATATTTTTATTTTTAATTTTTTAATTTTACATTCTCAACATTTAATTTATTATTTTTTCTTTATTTATCTTTCCTCATTTTTTCAATTTACACATACACCTTCTTATTTTTCTTTCACCTCACCTATTTTGGTAAGAAATTTTAACTCTTTTGGTTTTACATTACTCTTCCCTCTCCTCTTTCAATTTTCTTACTCTTATCTCATCTCTTCTCGCTTTTAATTTTCACAAACATGTAAAATGTAAAATTAGTTTTCAATAATATTATAGGTGTGTATGACTTTCTTGATAATAGGTAAGAAATTAGAAAAAGACGAAATAATACATGTAAAAATTGAAAAAGAAAAAAAAAATATGAAAAAAAAAGAAAGTAACAAATTAAAAATTAGAAATATAAAATTAGAAAAAAAAAATTATAAATATTTTATAATATTTTTAAAAAAATAGTGAAGGTGTACTTATAAAAAAAAAAGAAGGCATATATATCAGGAGCCATTATCATTTTAGATTAATTTGATTTTCAAACTAGTTCATTACACCACATTTTTATTGTGATGTTTTAAATAGCTGAACACATTCAAACAGCGGAGAATTGGAATTCAAAACCCCAAATTTGTTTGTGGGTGAAACCGCGGAATTTTATTCATTTTTGCAGACTCTCCAGTTCCCTCCTTTCCCAACATTGCAGATTGAAATTGATTTTCCTGAGAAATGCCCTCGGAGGATTCGAAGCCAGTGAAGAAAGAGGTGGAATCCAACAACAAGAGTTCCGTTTCCAAAAAGGTGACAAACTCCAACTCTAAGGTGGCAAAAGTTAAGAAAGAGGAGCCCCAATCCGTCAAGAAGGAACCTAAACATAATGACACCGACGACGACGACATTCCCCTCGCCAAAAGGACCTCCAACTCCAAGGTTCCTCTCACTTGCTCTTCTGTTTTCTAAAATAAGTGTGGCTTTTCCATTTTTATTACTTTTATATGGCGTGGAACGTGTTTTTTTGTGTGTTTGGGTTGGGGGTTGAAGGAAGTGAAGAGAAGGAAGAAGATAAAGGAGGAAGAAAAGAAGGAGGGAGAGAAAACGAAGAGAGAAAAGAAGGTGTATGATTTACCAGGCCAGAAACGAGATCCACCTGAGGAGGTATGCCAATGCTTCTTTTCGTTCTTGTTTTTCGTTTTTTTTTTTTTGGTCATTTTAAGTTTTGAGTAATCGCTCTGTAACTTTTGCTATTTCTCAGAAAGACCCACTCAGGATCTTCTACGAGAGTTTGCACAACCAAGTTCCCAGTAGCGAAATGTCACAAATCTGGTAAGTTTTTCATTCAGGAACTTACATTGGAAAGGAAGGAATGAGAATATGATTCATGAAGGGTGCTGGTACTGTTTTGTTAATGTTTTTTTTTTTTTTTTTTTTTTCTGCTTTGCACTTTGTTAGTTTATAGAAGTGCTTATAAAGAAGTTTATAAAAAATTACCTATTTGTGCATGCATTTGAGTAAATAATGAGCATCGAGATGGAAGAACAGTTAGCGTGCTTTTAATTTAAAATTCTTTGCCACAACCCTGCTTTGGAATATGAAATGGTTTTTGCAACCTTCCAAAATGTTAAATTTATTTACGGTCTCAGTAAGCTAAATGCCCTATAATATGTAGCATTGGTGTTAGGGACATTAAATCCTTTCCAATCAAGTGGACTTTGTGCAGGTTATAGAATGCTCTTAATCCAGAAGCCATTTTATTTGAAGTTTTAGTTTTTTTTCCCTCTCTTTTCCCTCGTGTGAATGTGAATGTGATGGACAAACTTTGATTCCGATTTGAAAACAAAAAAAGAGTGGTGGGATGCGGAGTGGAAATGGTGTTTTTTATACTAGTTGATTTAAATTTGATTCAAGACAAACATCTTTCTCAAACCTTTTTCATAAAACGGTATCCAACTTTGCCGACTATATTGAATTTGCAATTTACTTGTTTTGCTTCCTTTTTTTGTGATTAAAGTGTAGATTTGCCATCACTTTTTGCATCAAACCTTTTATCACTGTTGCGAGCATCAGAACAACGATATGGTTGTTGCTTTAATATCGTATTCTAAAACTCATGAAAAATGTAGACATAAACCTTAGTTAATGCAACAAGTGATACTTACTATTGAATTTTACGTTAGTCATAGATCAAAAGCAAACCCTTTTTTAACAAGACAATTTGTCTGCTCTGTAGATATCTTTAAACAATAAAACAAACCTCCCATAGTTAATAAAAAACAGCACATTATTTATTTTCCATTACTGAATGTAATTTCAGGTTGATGGAATCGGGCTTGCTTCCTAAAGATGTGGCAATGAAAGTATATGAAAAGAAGCAAAAGAAAGGTCTGCAAAAGCTCTCTTCCCCAGTTAAGTTTGTAGCTGCTGTGAAGAGCAGCAACACTAAGTCTGTCACAGTGAAGAAAAAAAGCCATACCTCCCCTGTCCCTTGTGTTAAAAGGAAGACAATGAATTTCACATCAAAGCAGTCCAAGAAGCGAAAATCAAAGGATCAAAGTTCTGGGGATGAGGATGATAATAACTCTGATGCTGAAGTTATTTCATTGGTAACAACGAGGAGAAAAATGGCTTAATTATTGCCCTACTGTGTGACAGATTTATTTTCTTTTTTCCCTATTTCTTTTACCATTTAATACTAGTGAAATAACTTGTACGGCATGGCACAAAGTTATATAACTTTTAAGGTTATGTTAGGAAGTGTGTTGGAGGAGCTCAAAAGTACTTTTACTCTCGGTGGCAAATTCTTCCATTTTGTTTGATGTCTTAAAATTTAGGAATATGCACCGAAATTTCTAAAAGCAGGTCCTCAATTTCTATCCAAACATAGTCTAAGATGTTGCACTTGGTTTACAAAGCATTAGTTTTAATTTAGTTTATCCTTCACACCTTAGTTTTTACACTTACACTCACTCATGTTTCTAAATTTCATTTTTCCTGTTTGAATATATGTAGATAACTTATCTATGAAAATTTTCGTAGATAACCTCGCCCGTAGATAAATTTCGTAGGTAAGTCTTTTAAATCTTATTTGTAGATAAAATTTGTAGATAACAACTTTCGTGGATAATTCGTAGAAATGTCCTTATATAAGGTTATTTATGAAAAAATTTTCGTAGATAATGTTACCTATGAAATTTTTTTCATAGATAACGTTACCTACGAAAAATTTTCCGTAAGTAACGTTATCTACGACCTTATTACCTACATATTTTTCATGCTTATCTACGAATTTTCATGCTTATCTACGGATTTCTTCTGTAAATAATGATGATTTTTCTTGTAGTGAGATGAGATTAATTATGTTTAAAGATTAATTACTATTTTTAGATTAAATTTATCTTCTTTGTTTCATATTACTTCTTAATGTATCTTAATTGTATTTTTAGATTAATAACTAATCCATGTTTAAATATACATAACATGGATTCTTTTACTTCGAATTGTGCTTGGATGTATGATAGGTGTTACCCCATTAGAATAGTATTGAAACCATCTTTTGTATAGGGGGTTGAAGAGTTTATAAACAAAGCTCACCAATACAAATATTATAAAGGTGATGAGGGATTAGATGTCCATGTCTCAAATGTAATTGTACAAGGATTTTGAATGATGAAATTGTAAAGGTTCACCTTTACAAACAAGGGTTCAAACTTGATTATTTTGTTTGGACTAATCATGGTGAAGAAATACCACATGTTGATTTACATGCTAAAGATAATTGTATGGATGTTTAAGACAGTGTTGTAGATGTGCCTCGAGGGGAACAATTTATGTTTATGCAAGAGATGATGTCTGATGCTTTTAGACAATATGAGTCACTTGACACACCAGAGTTTGACAACATGGAAGAGCCTCCAAATGAAGAAACTCAAAGATTTTATAATCTGTTGACAGAGTCAAATAAGTCGTTGTTTGAAGGGGCTAAAGACTCTAAACTATCCATATGTGTGAGGCTATTAGCTTGCAAGTCCAATTGGGATGTTCCTGATCAATGTTTAGAGTTTATTATACATATGCTTTTGGATGTAACACCCATAAAAGGGAGTTTGCCAAAAAGTTATTATGATGCCAAACGATTAATAGCAAAACTAGAATTGGAAGCTAAGAGGATGATTGTTGTGTGGTAGTCTTCATATAACGTAAGGTGGCATAGAGACTTGAGGATGAGGAACAGATAAAGTAATTTTTTTACTCAAAGGCCTCTCATAAATTGTTTGATATGTTTAGTGAAGCTCGAAAAATAGGTAAAAGGCCATTCTAGGCTAGACAAGATGTGTGGAACCAACTGGTAGCACATTGGAATTCAACTGCTTTTCGATCAAAGTCTACACAAGCCTCACTAAATCAAGCATCTAAAAAGGGCGGGACTCTTCATACAGGTGGCTCAATTACAATTCATGATCATGCCAAACGCATGGTATGTATAAATTAAAATTTTCTTTTAGATTTTTATAACTTTACAACTTCAAATTAACTTATTTCCCATCAATGCATTATTTTGCAGGCAAGAGAATTTGGTTGCTCAGTACATATTGATGAGGTCTTTCAATAGACCCACATACGAAAAGAAACTAGAGAGTTTGTTGATGAAAGATCTAAGAAAACATATGTAAGTTATTTAAATAATTATTCTTGTTAATTTTAATCATGTTTACAAGATTAGTAAAATAATGCCTTTGTTTGAATAATAAGAAGACTTTCTCAATAAATTTTTTCAAGCTATGTTTGAGGCTGCATCATCTGTTCATGAATCACATCCTATGGAGCCTAGTTTGGAGGATACAATTAAGTCTAAATGTTGGTCTGATGTAGTTGGTGGCATGACCACTAAGGGGCGATTGTAGGGAGCTGGAGACCTTGCTTGTGATTTTAAAGATACACAGAGCAGTCGTCTCAAGCTTAAAAGGAAAGTATATTATAGTAATTCACATGACATTGAAGATATTGTTCAATTGAAACAATGACTTGTAGAAAATGATATGCTTATTCATTAGTTACAACAGTTTCAATCAATTGTTATGCAGTTCTTACCCACAGAAGCACAAATTGCCATTCAAAATATTAGTCAACAAAATGTCAACCTAGATCAACAAAATGGGGAACAACAACAACAACAACAACAATAAGATGACTAAGGAAAAAATCAAGAAGACTCTCCTAATTATGATGATTATTAGTTAGCATTAGAAAAATATGAATCTATTTGAATTAACTATATATGAATTGTTTAATATATGTTAGTGTTGGATTATTATTATGATATAAACATTAGTGTTGTCTTTTAAATTTATTTTGGTGAAGCTTTTATCAATCTATATATATTGTTAAATAGGTAAAAATAATGTCAACAGGTTACATTAATAAATTTATAAAAAAATAAACATTCAAATAATATTTTTGACAGAACTTTCTATTGGAAATCAATTTTGTTATTATGACATATATATCTGTTGGAAATTTTTGATAGATATATTTGTCAGAAATTTCCAACAGATATATCCGTCAAAAATTTTTGATAGATATATCCATCGAAATTTTTTGATAGATATATCCGTAAAAAATTATCAACGGATATATCTATAAAAAATAATGACCATCAATTTCTGATAGATATATCTGTTGGAAATTCTTGACAAAATTTTTCACAGATATATTCGTCAAAAACTATCAATGGATGTTTATCTGTCAAAAATTATCGATGAACGTTTATCCATCAGAAACTATTGACAAATATTCCTACAGGCTACAAATATAGTTGTCAGAAATTACCGATGGAATAAATTATTTTCAATGCCCTTTTTTTCAACGGATTTATGCCCGTCAGAAATCCTCTATTTTTGATGGATAATACTTGTTTCCGACAGATTATGATCGTAAAAAAATAATGTTTTTCTTGTAGTGAACATACCGCTATAGTCTTTGACTCTTTGTTGCTTCGTTTACAAATTATTTATCTTTCCTTTTATGAGTTTTAATATATAATTGTCAACGACTTAACACCTTCCCAGTTTCTAACAACCAAGATAAATAAAGAGCAAGTAAACATTGAACTTTTTAAAATAGTAAAGTTAACATTTAGATTACCAACTTATTTCTTCTTCTAGGATTAGCTTTGGAGCCACTAGTATGTAAAATAACTTGCTTGTCTCGAATTTCTTTATTTCTCCTACAAAGTTCCTATAGGAAATGCAATTACAAATTTACAACTTGACATAGTAATCATATAATTAGAAATAAAAACAATTTAATTATGAAAACAAATATTTTACCGTATTAATTAATCAAAATGATATTATTAAGTTCATAAGTTACATTATTAATACATAATTTTTAAAAAAAATTATATTTATTAAGAAAATATATAATATTAGATTGAGTTAGAATAACTCAACTTAAATTAGCATCAAATTTGCAAAACCTATATTTTTAATTTCAAACCCATTGAAAATTACTTTGTTATAATTGAGCATTGTTCTTGTGAAAGACTACAAGTCTACGAGTCTATCAATAAATGATTAGCTACAGAGGGTCTAGTGGATATGATTACAATAAGCCTGCCAAAGTGAGCAAACATTACTAGGTCTCCCCGCTATTGTGAAATTTTCAAGTATAATTAACAAAAAGTTTCTAGCAAGCAGATTTCATGACAAGGTTCTAAAAGTAAAAGCAACTATGGAAAAGTTGTCAACAAGTTAACACACCTTGTGCTTAATTAATTACCACCTACCTACACACAAAGAAGGTAATTAACCATTCTTCCTGAAAATCATAGTTATATAGAAATCAACTTCAGTAATTAACTATTAAATTTCATAGAAAGATTCAGGCAATTCCATATAGATGACCACAATAAATTATGTGAACTAACCAAACTTAGAAAATAAATTCTCCAACTAACCAGATCATTTGAATCGTGTACATAGATGTACAAAATTACAACTACCATCAGTTAGAAAATTACCATATAAACATTTCCAAATCAATCTACGCAATAATCTAAGTACGAAAAGGAATAAAAAAACTCACTATGCCATTCTAGTTAGCTGGTATACCTCACCATATGAACCTGTTGAAAGAAAGCATAATCATACCTATTAAAATAAAGTAATGCTCCAACACATATATTCAATTATGCAATACTTAAGATACACTTAGAGCCTCCCCATCAAAATAGAAGTTTTATTAAAAAGTTAAAAATAAAAATTCTATCAAATTAAAACAAGGGAACTGATGGAGTGATAAGGGTGGTCCAAGTGGTTTGGGGAGAGGGATATAGGGTTGAGTGACTAAGAGGGTGTAGGTTCAAATCTCCCCAATAACAACTAACAAACTAACCATTAACATTTGCCGTTTAAAAAAAATAAAAAATAGACGCTTAAATGATAGGATATAAAAATAGACGTATCCAACAATGGAGAAATAATAAAGATAACTATACAAATATTATAAAACTAGGATTAGCCAAATTAAAATAAAATCAATAGATGCTTGATTATTTATCTGAATAGATTATCGTTTAAATATTATCCTCAAGTAACATAATGAAGAACTCATTCATAAAAAATAATAATTAAAGAGTCACTAAATATGATGTTTAAACAATTGCCACTCTACCATTTCAACTTAGTTACCCTTTATGACTTCATATATATATATATATATGCAAAATCCAAAAGCTAGGACATTTTAGAAACAAGAAGATCCAAATGTAACTTCTCTCAAAGATCTCTTACAAAATATATATCATATCTAATTTAGATTATTCAACACTTCACATTAACCTATTCAACTTAGTAGCCATTGAGAAAACTAATTTATCACTAAACTATTTTTTCTCAACCATTGAGAAAACTTCAGATCCATAATCTGAAAGTGAGAAAAAAACCAATTAAACAATCATTGCATCACTATCTAATCATAAATATCTGAGATCTGCCGCACCCACATGAAATAAAACAACGGATAAAAAGTTAGAAGCAATTCACAATTTCTCTGATCAATATATTTAGAAAATCTGATACATTGCAAGGCACGTGATTTTGATTACTTCAATTCACATGGTACTATAATTTTAGAAAAAGCTAATTACGTTATATTGGTAGTGTGAAAAATAGAAATCAAGACAAATATTGCATAAATAGTTATTATATGCAAATTGTAGCATTGTACAAGATAAAGATGTCATTCTACACGAATGCATTTCTGTTACTCTAGTTTATAATTTATAATGGATAACATCACATATGCAAATTAGACATGTAATAGAATAAGCAAAGCAAATCATCATTAACAAATAGACAAACAATAATAAGTAGATAGAAACCAACATTTCAAACACAAACTCGTACATTATAAAATCCAATAAATAGTATGCGGGGATAATGCTAATAAAGGTACCGCTTCTTGCTATATAACCAAAAATAAAATGAAAAAAAATAACGGATAAAAAAAGGCAATAACAACACAATACATGCAAACCAGTAAGGCAAAAAAAGTTTGATCTATCTCGTATTTTAGACATCTAGCCGTCCAGGTTATTTTACAAAGTGGGTTACTTTCGAGGAATCGATTCCAAAAACCACATGGATTCTCATTATCTAAAACCAGCTTAAATGAAAGGATATAACAGGGGAATTGATTCCAAAAAGAATTACAAAAAGAGATAATAGGCAACGTCATTAAGAATCGCATGGGTTCTCATTAGTTGGATTCAAGAGGGATCAATATCATCGTCATTAAGAACTACACTGGTTCTCACAAGTGGGGTTCAATAGAGAAAATGAGAAGAAATAAAAAATAGGGTATAAGCAACAATGTCTAAATACGAGTAAAAAAAGAAGAAGAAAACCTTCTTAGAGTGTTTAGGGAAGATGAGCGATAGAAGCTTGGGAGAAAGTTGGACAACAACTATGGCAACTACAACAACTATGACGACGAAATCATTGATCTTCAACTATCGAATCGTGGAATGATGAAGGGTTTGAGGGTTTCTTTGTTTTTCTGATTTTCTTGAAGAGGGAAGCGAATAGGCGTAAGAGGGAAGTTTTTGTTTTATTTTAGAGAAAAAAATTTAAGCGGGAAACTATATTTTAATTAAAGGAGGTTTTAAAAACCTTTATAAATTAAATAAAAAATTACAGTTTTCTCCTCTAATTCTAGATGTTGAAATATAGCATTGTATTTTTAATAATTTGCAGAGGTTTTTAAAACCTCTGCAAAATAATCTCCATTATTTTACAATTTTTTGTAATATGAAGAAACTTTTGTTCCTGTTGCTAAAATGACTATAATTTGTACTCTCATTGTAGTCGCTTCTGTTCGTTAGAAACATATTTCTCAATGGATGTTAAAAATGCTTTCTTGAATGGTGACCTTCAAGAAGAAGTTTATGTGGATGTTAAAAATACTCAAATGCTTCAATCCAATCGGAGAGATAGGTCCAGAATAAAAAATGGGTCTTGCCGCCATGCACCGTGAACGAAAAACGCCCAAAGGTCTATCACCGCTGTCGCCGGAAACTGTTGGAGAGGAAAACAGTGTCAAAACACTCGCATGCAAGAGTAAAACAACATTTTTACACAAAAATATCAACACATGCATGAAAGAACTAACCTCAATCCGTGAAAACGCCTAAATGCTTCAACCCAATTGGAGAGATAGGTTCAGAATCAAAAATAGGTTTCGTCGTCATTGTCGTCGCCGTTCACCGTTGTTGTCGTTGCCGCTCACCATCATTGTCGTCGCCGTTGTCGTTGTCGTCACCGAAAATCGCCAGAGGAAAACCCTCGAGGAAAACATGTAAAAACACTTGTGCGCACTAAAAAGATGAAGGTGCTGGGGGAATAAAACAACTTTTTTACATCGGACCAAAAGGGATCCGATGTAAAAATTGAAATCTAATGTCGGACTGTACTTCATATCCGACATAGATTTTAATTTTTACGTTGGACCCCCTTTGGTCCGACGTAAAAAAGTTAAGATTAATTTTAAAAATGTCATCGCGTATTTTTTACGTTGGGTGTTCTTATGACCGACGAGAAGATGGTGATGTAAAAGACTGATTTTTCACTAGTGTTTGTAAGTTGAAGAAAGCCTTATATGGTCTCAAACAAGCTCCCACAGCTTGGTTTGAAAAGTTCTCCATTATAATTGCATCTCTTGGCTTCCACTCTAACGCTTATGATTCAACGTTGTTTGTTCGATGTACTTTTAATGGTTGTATATTGCTCTCCTTGTATGTT